ATTAGGGGCTCGTAGATATGGTTTAATGATCCGTTTGTGAGGAAGGTATGTTGCATTGTGGATTTTGCAGATTGCCGTACTGAATCGTATCACATGTTCGAAACGTATCGATTCTTTGTTCAAGAATATTCGTATTGTATATTGATAGACACTGGACAACTAATTCAGTTCGAAATGACATAAATAGGTTCTTAATAATAAAGGAAACATGATTAGAAGCTTGAAACTTTCGGGACTCAACAGTGCTCCTTTTTCAAAACTAGCTATTAACTAACTAATTAGTTAGCTAACTAGCAATGGACAACTGACTTAAAACGTTCATGAGAGGAGTTCATCTCTGTCATATGACGGGCTTGGTCGCAGGTAAGCGACATTACATACACCTTGATTTGTTTGGCTTTTGTTTAGCGTTTCGTCAAGACAGTGACTGGCACACGTAATCCGGTTTATTGTCGTCGGGTATCGAATAGATATTCCAACTTGCAGTAATAAATTTATTTAACATTTCTTATCGGTGTAATAAATCTCTGTATTACTCATTATCTCCGTTACAGCTGTACTTATCTGCAATGCTGACAGACTTTTCTCTCGTATCCCATCAGAACAGGGAATGATGGATGTTTAAATTCTCGTTTCTTGATCATTCGTGTCCACAGCGGTTGACCAAATACACCAGCAAAAGGCGAATGAAGATCTATAAAGTGACAGTAGCTAAATATCATTATCATTCCCATTGAATGAGTCAGTTTCTTCATTTATTCAGTGATGCCTCCATGACTTTGAGCGGTAACTTCGTTGTTTACCATTTCGCAGTTTTTTTAATCTTTTTTTATGGTATCGATCTTGTTTAGTTTTTCGCGGCAGTTGCTGACTTTTCATTACTAAAATTTTCGATTCTGCCATTTCGATGACGCTGTTGTGGAAAAAATGATACGATGCTCTATATTTCATACACAACGCTAAACATGATTGACAGATACCGATGTTTCAACCCGTATTTCAGGTGGGGCGGGGACTTTTTAAGTGTAGAAGTGTTGACAGACTTCGCTGGTGTTCGGTTGTTTGCAGTCAGTTTACACAGTTGGAAACTTAATATTCTATAGTCGAATGTTGCCAGTGATTAAAGTCTATTTATGAATTCCAAGCGTAAATATGCGTATGTTCTCTTATAATACTTAATGTATTTTGTAGTATCTGTTATATTTATTGCTATAATATTGCTCTATATCATATGTACTGTGTAGTTGTTTATTCCTCAAATGCGCAGCGTGATGAAAAAGTATTATATTACTTAGTTTGAGTACTTTGTTTATCGTGTGTTAATCATCGCTATGTTGATCGTTCTCTGCGGTAGTACTGGTGTAAACCAACCGTTAAATCATGATGTTGAATATTTTCTGGCGAAAAACCATTGGCGAGCTACAAGCGTGTACGTTGCTCGAACTACTGACCTTGTGTACATGTCACATTTGTAGGTTGTTCGATTCAGTACTATCATGCGATTGTACATCAGCACATCATATATGCTTAAATATGATGGATCCCTGGCCTGCTTCAGTATTCGTCATAAACTTGAAGAAAAATGGTCTATATGACTTCGCTAAATTTATTCCTCGTTTTTATAGCAGTATTGATGGAATCAGTTCCTGCTGGATTTAAGCTAATCATATGCAGTTATCAGTTGTTCCCTCCTGGTTTATATTCATGATGCACTTCTGCCAGGTTGGTGTCTTCTGTGGTAAGGGCGATAAGTCCTATTTTGCCATTAATATACCGGTTCTGGACCACTATTCCGTTATGAAAAATATAGTCATAGCACGTGCATTTATTTAGGATTTTCTACATCTTTGTCGATGGACCATGAGATTGACGCCAGCAGTCTGAAGTTCGCAATAACGGTATTACCACGAACGACAGGTTGATAAGTGTTAAGGAAACATAGCCTCTTCTCTAGCCGTCTTCCTATTTCATGCAAACTGGGTGACTGGCAGCAACATAGTTATATCTGCATTTCAGACGAAAGAAATTAATATCAATAGTCAGATCGTGGACTTTTGAATTTCGAAATTCAGATTGAAAATTA